ATAATTAGTTTTCTTATCTCCTTCAGGATAACCCAAGACTTTAGATAACTTTAAACTCCATTTACCGTCTTTCAACTTTTGTGCAATTGCTGTCATATATTTTAATTCAATACATATTTTAAACCCATAAATATAATAATTATGGTTTGAAACCATTCTTTTGTTGTAGGATTGAAGAATCTAAAAGAAAAAAAACAAAAACAAAAAAAAAAGAAGCCGTCCATTTCCATTTGGATTCATGAACATTTTCTATTTTAGTGGTTCTTCATCTTTTTCTGCATCACTATACTTTCATCTTGGATTGGTTTTCTTCTGCCTGGAGAATTCCCTGTGGCATTCCTTTTAGTGTGAGTCTGCTGAGTATAATTCTGTCAGGCTTTGTTTGAAAACATTTCACTTTTGCCTTTATTTTTAAAGATGATTTCTTTAGAATATAGACTGCAAGTTGGCAGTTAGCATTGTCCTTCATCATTTAATGATATCATGCCATTGTTCACAGCTTCCATTGTTTCTCTTCTAAGTCAATCATCAGTCTCATTTTTAATTATTTGAATTTAATTCATATTTGTTAGCTTCTTACAGTATGTTTAAATCATTTATTTTAAAACTTTCTTCTGTTCTAATATAAACAATGTAAAGCCATACATTTCCCTCTGGGCTCTGCTTTAGCTGATTCCACAAATTCTAATATGTTGTGTTTTCATTTCATTCAAATTATTTTTAATTTTCTTTGTAGTCTGGGTGACAGAATGAGACTGTATGAAAAATAAATTGTTTTAATTTTCTTTGTGATTTCTTTTTTTGACCTATGGGTTATTTAGAAGTGTGTTATTTAATTTTCAGATATTTGGGGGATATTCCAGAGTATCTTTTACTTATTAATTTTTAATTTAATTCTCTTGTGGTCAGAGAACATGGTTCTTATTATTTCAATCTTCTTGGAACTTTATCAAGATTGTTTTAAAACTCAGGATATAGTCTAATTTAGGAAACGTTTCTGGTGCACTTTCAAATAAACTGTTGCTGTTTGGTGAAGTGTTCTATGATGTGAAATAGGTCAATTTGTTTAATAATGTGTACAAGTCACACACTCTTACTTTTGTCTTCTTAGTCTATCAATTCCCAACAGAAGAGAGTTAATACTCCTTAGCTATAATTTTTGAATTGTCTATTTTTCTTTTCAGTTTGGTCAGTTTTTGCTTCATGTATTTTGGAGCTCTGTAATCAACTGCATATATATTTAAAATTGTTTCATTTTCTTGATAGATTTACATTTTATTATGGAATGTCTCTCTTTATTTTTGTTAATATTCCTTGTCCAAAAATCACTTTGATATAGCCTCATGAGCTTTCTTATTGATTCAAGTTTTCACACTCTAGTTTTTCTAAATTTTTACTTTTAATTGCTCCTTATATTTAACATAAATTTATTGTAGACAACATATAGCAGGTTCTTGCTTTTTAAAAATCCAGTCTGACAATATCTTCTTTTTAATTGCAATGCTTTGACTGTATATATTTAGTGAAAATGTTGACAGTAACTTTCAATACATGAACATGAGATTTATTTGTGTCTTCTTCAATTTCTTTTATTAATGTTTTATAATTTTCAGTGTATGGTCTTTCACCTCCTTGGTTAAATTTATTCCTAAGCAGGTTTTTTTGGAAGTTATTATAAATGATAATTTTTAAAATTCTTTTTCAGATAGTTTGTTGTTAGTATATAGAAATGCTACTGATTTTTCTATGTTAATTTTGTATATTGCAACTTTACTGGTTTCTTTTATTATAATAGGTTTTTTGGTGGAGTTTTTGAGCACACTTACAATAGCTATTTCAAAATTCTCATATGCTAATTCCATCATATCTGTCATTTCTGGGTCTGCTTTTATTGACTAATTTTTCTCTTGATTATCAGACTTGTCCTGCTTTTCTACATATCTAGTAACTGTTTACCAACTGCCAGACTTTTAATGTTACATTGTAGCATGTCTATATTTTTTTTATTTAATTAAAGAATTAAATAGGCAGTAAAGAATGTTTGGCAGGCAATAAAGAATATTTGGCAGGCAGTAGGGTAACTTGCAGATAACTTGTTTTCCTTTCAAGGCTTGCTTTTAAGCTTTATTCAGGTAAATCTATAATAACCTTTACTCTAGGGCTAATTCATTCCCTGTGATTTTTCTTTGGTCTCCTCTATCAATGCCTTAAATTTTTGTTCTACCCTGGCTAGGTAGAACTTGAACATATCCCAGTCCTGTAGAAGCTTTCAAGATTGTTTAGCCTACGGCTTCCCAGCAGCTATTTGCCCAACCTCATAGAGTTTCTTTATATGCATCTATAGTTTACTATGAGCAATAGACTTAAGGGGATTTCTATGCTTATGTCTAAATTTCTTCTTTGCATTGCTCCCTCTTTTCCAATACTATGCCTGGCATATTCCAGCTGTCTCAGCCTGCCCAAACTCTCATCTGTCTTTTCAACTCAATGAATCTGTTATGCTTTTCTGGTTTCTTCTTACCTGCACTGTGATCTGGAAAGTCCCTCTAAGCAGAAAGCTACTGTGATTGTAGGACTTCACTCTTTTGCTTTTGTTCTTGCCTTTATCACAGTTCTGCATTGCCTGTTGTCCTATGCCTGAAAATAGATGCTTCGTGTATTTTGTCCTAATTTTCAGTGCTTTGGGATGGGAGATGAATTCCAGAATCAGTCATTCTAATATAGCCAGAATGGAACAATGTTGCAAAGTCTTTAAGATTTTACAAATGAAAAGTTTGCTAGAGCAGGAGACCCGGTGCGGTGGCTCATGACTGTACTCCCAGCACTTTCAGAGGCTGAGGCAGGCAGATTACCTGAGGTCAGGAGTTCGAAAGCAGCCTGGCCAACATGGTGAAACCCATCTCTACTAAAAATACAAAAATTAGCTGGGCGTGGTGGCAGGTGCCTCTAATCCCAGCTACTCAGGAGGCTGAGGCATGAGGATCACTTGAACTCGGGACAAGGAGGTTGCAATAAGCCCAGATCATGCCACTGCACACCAGGCTGGGTGACAGAGCAAGACTCCGTCTCAAAGAAAAGAAAACAAATATGTATTAGAATAGTTGGTTCTGTCATGGAGAGGGTAATGAGAAAAAGACTAAGTGACAACTATATAACTTCTTTCTTGACAGAAGTGTAAGAAATGCCTTATCTTTGGAAGCATTTTCTCCTCAATTTCAAAAGAAGTTTCAATGGAAATACTTATTTTTTGAAAGTTAGAAGTTTCAACTTTAGGTTTATATTTTTTCCATAAACAAAGGCTAACTAGGCAGTTTTCTAATGTTGCAGTATTGTTAATTTAGATCACTGATGATGATAAAGTGGTTCCTGCTGCTCTTGCTGCTGCCAACAATAAAAACATTTACTTAGGCACTGCTAATATACCAGGCATTGTGCTAGGCACTTTACACTGATTATCTTCACCCTTCCACAACAGTTCTGCAAGTTAGAAATCATGATCCTGGGAAACTCAAGGAGGTAAAATTATTTCCTCAAGGTAATACGCTAAGAAGTGAAAACTCCATGACTAAATTACTCGGTGGTCGTTTAGTGGCTAGAATTGGGAAACAATCTCAGCTCATCAGTAACAATGCCTCCTCCCATTATTATACTGCTCTCTGATTCTGTCTTTACCTGAGCTTTCCATCTGGCAAATTAAACTGGAAAACAGCCGACTCCCTTCCCAGAGAGGCTGTATTATTATATAGATGTTTTACATTATTTTGCTTTGAATAACAACATATGTAAATGTGCTCCTGGAGTCTAAACTACTCTTATTTTGTCAAACTTGGCCTCTCTCACTAGGGTGAATAGTTGAAAATTTTAGAGAGGAAAAGGCCGGCTAGAAAGAAGGTTAGTTGATGTGGAGTTGCTTCTCCTTCTTTCCCCCGACTCAATGCATATTTCTATTCAGACATAAGCAGCCACTTCAGAGTCAATATTAGTAAATTTGATATCATGGAGTCCTAGCTGGTCCTGATAGTCAGTGATCAGAGTGGGTTAATCCAGCTATTACTCATTAACTCTGCATCATGTTGATATGTAGGGGCAGATGTTCTTGCTAAGAAGAATAAAAGCCTCCTGTGGCACCTGGAAGACCTTATCAGACAGGGTCCCCGGCCAGATCACAGAGAGATTCTAGCTGGGCATTTTGCTCCCTCTAACCATCTACCTCTTGTTCAGAGGTTGGCCCATCTCCTCGACTTCAGCTCTCCCTTGGGCCCTGTATTGTTGAGCCATCCCTATCTTAAACGGCCTTTCCTGGCATTTGAATCACCACTTCGATGATGTGATAATATCTGCAAGTTGGGAAAATAAAAATGGCATTTGTTTAGCCATAATTAATGAAATATTTATGTTGCATGAGACTATGTGATAAAACCTTAGGCTTAGAGTCCTTTTGCTTCTGATTACATTTGGGATTTTTTTTTCTATGACCAGACATTCTGACGCCAGCTCTTTTACACTGAGCAGATGTCATGTAGTAAAAATGGGTGCCAGATGCTGTGAGCCACAGAAGGGCGATTTGTTTAAGAGCTGGCTCCAACTTTTTTGCATTCAATTACTCTGCAGAACAAACCTTACACAAGCATTTAGGTAACTCAGCTAACTTCAGACATGCATTTTAATAATAGATTTTTATCTCTGAATGCATTCTGAGCAAGGCACCATATAAATGGTGTTTAAGGAATTAATTGATTTCTGTGCAATACCTTGGCTTTTTTTTTTTATGTGAAAAGAGAGCTGCAAAGCTCTTGGCAAGAACCCAGAAATGTAATTAACGTGGAGGGCCAAATTTTCAGTTGCCCTAGGTACTGTTGCCTCCTGCTCACAGCAGGTGCAGTGAGGAGAGGGCGGGGAGGAAGGAGATGAGAGGAAGCGGGGAGGAGGAAGGAGCAGCTTTGGTTCATAAAGCAGGAAGTGAAGCTAGCAGTTCATTGAGTTTTTCTGTTCCATTTCAGACTCCAAGAACTTTCCCCTCAGAGCACAGGTAACAGAGGCTTCCTCTTGTGCCTCTTCTACCACCTCCTCCTCTGCAGATGAAGAATTTGATCCCCAGCTTTCCTTGCAGTTAAAGGTAAAAACACTTGGTCCCCCAAAGAGGGCCTTGGCTGGTGGGGGCTGCTTACCATCCAGATTTCAGACCCAGTGTGGGCTCCAGCTGCAGTGGTTTCGTTAGGAGGATCATGTATCATTGCATCCAACATGATCCTCTCTTTACCTGGCACAACCCAAGAATTGTATCTTTAAAAAAAAAAAACTTGTTTAAGTTTGCCTTTCTCAGACCCACATTGGGGAGAAAAAAAAAAGAGACATATTTACTGGAAACCATTTGGTGACGGCAGCCCTTAAAGTGGGTTTAATATATGATCCAACAAGCAAACCATTGAAAAAATTACAACAAACAGATGCATATTTCCCTGGGGGAAGCACAGCTTCATTTAAGAAGCACTAGAGGCAGATTGCATGGAAAATGTTACGTTTATTCTAATCAGAAATATGAAATGAACCATGCAGTTGCATCTAGACCTAGATACTCCAAGGATCCCTGCTGTGAAAGGGCCAAGCTCCATGCCAGCTGGGGAGACAGTAGACTTCTTTTCTCAATGAACATTAATGTTTCTGGAGAACTCTTTAAACTACTCTCATATCCATAGGTTAAAAAACACAAACATTGTATATGTCTATAAATGTGTCTGTATGTCACATTCACAGAGACAGACGTCCCATAACCAAAGCCCACCATTGTTTTCTTTATCCACTGAAGCTGGAGCATTTTCACTAAGACAGTAAAGTACTTGGCGCGGTTGGGGAGCGGGGGTGGGGTGTTACTGAATGGTTGGACCTAAAATGCAGAAAGAGAAGCAGTGTGTTGCTCTGGTAGTGTTTATTTTTTGGAGTAGTGAGGATCTGGGGAGGGAGGAGGAGAACCAAATTTATTTATACACTCAAATTTTCCATATCTGGCATTAGGAGCTTTGGCATCATCTCAAGTCACTCAGGGGTTCCAACTCCCCATGGCCCAGCTTGGAGTAAGGCAGGAGGGGTCTGGGACGTGTGTGAGAGTGTGTGTGTGTATGTATGTGTGTGTGTGAGAGAGAGAGAGACAGAGAGATGGGGGCACACGGGGGAAAGGAAGAAAGAGATGGAGGGAGTCGAGATTGAGGGAGAAAGATGTATGAATTTCTCATTTCTAACAATGATGTCTCTTAATAGTTCAGTATTCAACACAAATGAATTCTGTGTGTGTCGTATTGATTTCTGTGGTTTTCTTACTGCCCCCTCATCCCCTTGAGTGACCCGGAGTTAATTCTGTATTCAAATTAGGCAGAGATTCCAGCATCAGCCATCTTGACATGGAGAATAAAAGAATAGAATGGCCCAAACATATTGAAATCACAAGACGGTGGTATCTAGGACCAGTCTCACAAATTGCTCCTTGTGTCCTCCTGCTGGTCCAGAACAGAGCCCACCATCACATCAGCTTGCCAGGCGGTAAAGCATGCCTACCTCACCTGGCTTCGGACCTGGCCCACTCTTAAAGGAAGGGAAGCTGGCAACAGTAGTTCTTCTTTCCAACCTCTTGAAGGCACTCAACACTGAAGGAATGAGAGGAGGTTTTCTTCCTCTGGTTTCTTTGTCTCTTCTGTCCCATGCAGGTGTGTCCCCAGCCAGGTGGCACAGAGCCCATGACAGCTCAGATGAACCTTTGCACAGGAAACCAGAGGCAGGATGTATCCTCTCAGCCTCTTCCCTTTGCTTCACCCTTGTTCCCCACTGCCTCTTCTCCCACACTACCACCTAGATCTAGGAGACTAAGGCAGGAAGAGATGCAGCAGCTTGTCTTTGATTCTGCCAGATTTCTGCATCTTTTCTTCCATAGCCCTTAGCTTCTTTCCCTCTCCGCATCATCAGTGAGGATATAAGATCTGTGCCTTGTATACATAAGGCTGTGACTTTATTAATGATGCATCCTTCTTTTATGTGTCAGCAACTTTTAATAAAAGGCAATAAATGACTTTCTTTTTCTAGGTTCTGTTTTGCTGACTCTTGATAAAGCAGTCAGAGTCTGATAGCTTTGCTGCTGGAAAGCGCTAAGACCACGTGATCCTCTTGAGGCAATTCCCCCACCTTTCACCTTGGAACTGCATTCAGTGGTCTTCGTTTAGGGAGGAACACTGGCATTTCTTTTCTGTAGTCTCACTTTAGAGTAGGGCCTTGTTGTGTTTAAATGGCATTTGGCACAAGGAAAGGCAGTATAGAGTAGATGAAATGTGGATACTAGATTCAGGCTACCTGTGCCTAACTCCTGGCTTTGCCTATTAGTAATTGCATCATCTTGTACAAGTTAATTTCCTCTCTGAGTTTTGATTTCCTTGTCTGTAAAGTAAGTGCAATTTGAGGAATAAATGGGATGACACATGTGAATTAATTAGTATAGTATCTGACATGCAGCATTTAGTAAATGTGAGGATTTATTACATAGGTTACTATAATGGAAGCTCAAGGGACACTTGTTAATAAATGAACTGACTCCATATAAACTAAGTTAGTTAGACAATCTCTGGATGACAGTTACCATTAATCCCCACCACCTCTTCCCTAGAGCCTTTCCAGAAAGATCCTAGCTGCCCAGTGACGAATCCCCCATGCAAAAGGTCTGGAATCTCCATTCAGAGCAATTGACAGTCAATCTGGTAGTCATCTCCTGGAAGCAGAGATGATACTATGTGGTGTAAGTTGAGTTCTGAGAGTCAAAATTTTCTTCCAAGGATGAAGAAGATCTTTAGGATTGGAGGTCCTAAGTGTATGCTCAGAGAAGGCAAACAGAGTAAAAATAGCCCAATGTGAACATTTATTTTGTAGCTACAGAATGTCTGTGTGTGTATATATAATATATACTCCACACAAAAATCATATATTTTAGTAAAAAGTGATAATCATGCTAATTTAAAATATAATAGGCATGCTAATAATAAGAATCATGCTATTAATATTTACTGAGAGTTTATCCCATGTCTCTTTCAAGTATTCTACAAGGGCCTTAGCCTTATTATTTCATTTAATCCTAGGCACTAAATTATTTTCATTGCTCTAAAGGAGGCCCTGAAGTTCAGAACATTGTGTGACATTCTGAAGCTCACACAGCTCAGCTTGGGATTGGATGCAAGCTTTGCCTGTCTTGTGGACCCAGTGCTCAACCAGTAGTCTCTGCTGTTTCTCCCATCAGAAGTGTCTCCTGAACTTTCCAGTATGTGGAGTTGGCCACACCATCATTTCTCTTTTCTCTTGTGTTTAAAACCTGGAAGTGACACTATCAAGATCTAGACTCCTACTTTCTATGCATTAGTTTTGAATTTTTTTTTTTTTTAACAAGCACAGGTTACATACACAACTCAGTGACAGTAATGCTACAATTGTGTAAACAAAGTGAGGTTGGGAAGAGAAGGATCTCAGGCTTCCCTCAAGCCAAAAAACACTTTCATTGGAATGATACATTTCTCCATTTCCAGGTTTAATTAGCCACTGTAGACTCCACTTAAGCACTATTTAAAGTTGTTAACTGCTTTACATGTAGGAGAGAGAGAGAGCATATGTGTGTATATCTGTCTGCTTGCCTGCTTGTCTCTCTCTCCCAGGCCCCTCATTCCTGAGCTATATCATAGCACCCCTGTAAAGTATAATTCTTGTGCCATTCTTTCTCTCAGCTGAACCCAGCCAGTATTCTATACAGCAATTCCCAGCTGCAGACCTACACATACACTCCCTCCCCATACACACATAGCAGCTTCCCAATCCAGAACCTACTAGCAACATATGGCTACTTAAATTTACACTTAAATTCATTAAAATTGAATAACATTTAATATTCACTTTCTAATTCACACTCACTTCCTTTCAAGTGTCCACCAGCCCCATGGGGCTACTGGCTTCTGGATTTTAGATAGCACAGCAATAGGTTATTCCTATCATTGCAGAGAGTTTTACCGATGTCGTTATTTTGGAAACTAAGCAGTGACTAGGAATCATTAGTTGGAAAGAGCAGAAGCCTATAATGATATTTTGTAAATTTCAACCTCATTTTTCTCAGACATAATTTTTTTCTCTATTTGTTTTCATAGGAGAAGAAGACACTTAGAAGAAGAAAGAAGCTGGAAAAAGCAATGAAGCAGTTGGTTAAGCAAGAAGAATTGAAAAGACTCTATAAGGCTCAGGTCAGTAAATAAATGAGATGAGTGAGTGGGCCTGGGTCTCCTGGGACTCTGGATGGGAAAGAGGTTTGAGAGTGTATTGTATTAGGGAATGCAGGCTGGAGAAAGGTCAGTCTTCTCTGAGGGACCAGATTTGTGGCTGTTTTAAAGAGGCCCTGGCTTAGTCTCAGTAGGACTCTGGGTCATGGACAACCCAGGTGTTAATACAGCCTTTTCTCAGCCACCCCTCCATCTGCAGACATGTGAGGTTGGAACAAGAGACAGTGCATGGCCTTGGGCGTCATCTCTGACTGCCATGTAGCAGTGACCTTAGTTTTGTCCTCTGTAGACACAAACCTTCCACCAACTCCCCAACAGTGTCTTTACTAAACTGACAGCTATTAAGGACTGTCTCCATTTCAAGATTAGTTGAAATCGTAAGTATCTAACATTCCAATAAAGATTTCCTGGCCTGATTGCTTACTTCAAACATTTCCTTCCAAGTTGCTCTGCCCCACTCCATCACAGACAGGCAAAATGAAGCAGGAAGTCAAGCATCCTCCATCTCTCTGAGGATCCCAAGCCTAGTCTTGAACAAGAGTTGGGTTTTAGGACATACGGACTTGGAATGGCCACTCATGTTAATCCAGCATATCCTCACATCCCTTTCTCCAGTTATTCCCTTTATCTGGCTAATAATCCTACACACTATTTCTGACCAGAGTGACATCATTCAATCCACCCTCCTTTACCCTTCCCTGTGGATGACTTGGGAGCTCTCTTTCACCTAGCAAATGGGGAAAAGTCACTTCTGTCCACTTGCAACCTCTAAAACAGTTTTCTTAGAAACACTGCAACTTTTCCTTCCAAGAACAAGACAACTCTTATGATATTGATTGGCAAAGTAGGCAATGTACCTTCCTTGTATTTTCACCCCAGACAGTTTGTTATAGTAAGAGAAGAATTGCAATAGCCTTTTGAGTCCTGCTGGCACCCATAGCAGCCCTCTTTATTCTCTGAGACTTTGATCCTTAGTTTCGTTTTCTGAGACAGAGTCTTGCTCTGTTGCCCAGGCTGGAGTACAGTGGCGTAATCTCAGCTCACTGCAACTGCTTCCTGGATTCAAGTGATTCTCTTGCCTCAGCCACTGAGTAGCTGGGTGCAGACGCCTACTACCACACCCAGCTAATTTTTGAATTTTTAGTAGAGAGGGTTTCACCATGTTGGCCATGCTGGTCTCAAACTCCTGAGCTCAAGTGATCCTCCCACCTCAGCTTCCCAAAATGCTGAGATTACTGGCATGAGCCACCACGCCCAGCCTCACCCTTAGTTTCTAAAGAATGACCACTGTATTAGTGTGCTTGGGCTGCCATAACAAAATACCATGGACCGAATGGCTTAAACAACAGAAATTTATTTTCCTCACGTTCTGGAGCCTAGAAGTCCAAGATCAAGGTGCTGGTGGGTTTGGTGCCTGGTGAGGCCTCTCTTCCTGGCTTGTAGGCAGCTGCCTTCTTGCTATGTCCTCACATGATCTTTCTGTGAGTTCATGTGAGCAGAGAAAAGTACCTCTGGTGTCTTTTCCTCTTATAAGGACAGGGCTCCAACCTTAGGACTTCATTTAACCTTAATTACCTCCTTAAAGGCTCTATCTCCAAATGCAATCACATTGGGGGTTAGGGCTTCAATGTACACATTTGGAGTGGGACACAGTTCAGTCCCTAAGAACCAGATAGCTTTAACTGCACAGTGATCAGTAATAAGTCTTTTAGGTGCTTCCCTTCTTTGGCAGTTTTACAGCCTGCCGGTGAGAGATGGATTTATAAAGATATCATTGTCTTTAAGGGAGACACAGGAAGAGGGCATGAAATCACAAGGAGTTTTAAGTAGACTTTCCATCTAGTTCAGATTTTATGTTGGAACTTAAGCACTCATAGCTGAGACAAGAAGAGCTGGGTGGCTGTGCAGGCCCTACCCCTCCCTGCTTGGGTCTCTTTATAGGGTTTGAGGGGCCTTGGCTCTATTTTTGATTTCAGGGGCAATTTAGAAAGACATGGGGTTAAGGAGGAAGAGTGAGACAGAGCTGAAGTAAAGCAAAGGAGGAACACAGGCATTCTGCCTGCCCAAATAGCTGACAGTACCTTGAATATACCTGTTGTGCCAGGTGCAGAGTCTGTCCTCCCCAAGGGATGTGCCTTTGACAGCATGGTGTTTGAAAGCAGAGAAAATGGATGGGGATGAACAAAAGTTATATAGGAAAGGCTTTTCCATAACTTTCTTTCTTTCCTTTTTTGAGACAAAGTCTCCCACTGTTGCCCAGGCTGGAGTGCAGTGGCATGATCTCATCTCACTGCAACCTCCACCTCCCGGGTTCAAGCCGTTCTCCTGCCTCAGCCTCCTGAGTAGCTGAGATTACAGGCCTGGCTAATTTTTTGTATTTTTAGTAGAGACTGGGTTTCACTATGTTGAACAGACTGGTTTCAAACTCCTGACCTCGTGATCTGCCTGCCTCCGGCCTCCCAAAGAGCTGGGATTACAGGCGTGTGCCACCGCACCTGGCCCCTAATTTTTCTTTCTAATATACACAAGAGATTAATAGTTAGTAGAGAAAATAAATATGTAAATGCCAATCCAATCATCACCCCAGACCTTAATAGGTGCCTAGAATGAGCCTAAGGAGATATGATGTCATCCCCTAATGAGTTAAATATCTTGTGTCTTGTCTTAATAACCTGCTAGTAAAAAAGCCACAGTACACTTCCACAGTGAAAGAATGCTGGGCATCTGCCCATGGTGCAGTGAAAGACCACATACAATTTGCAGCTAAGGATAGGAGCAGGACAATCTGAAACAGGAGCACGAAACCACAGAAGCTGGCCCAGGTCTCTTGCTCCAGAGTGACTCCTTAGGAGGTATAGGCTGGTTCTTCTTGGGTAAAAGAGATTATGCACATATTGAGTTTGCCCCAGGACCCACTACCCTACTCTGAATAGGGGCTGCAGCTTCAATCATTATGCCACGGCCACAGTCAGAGGCTGTGGGCTCCAAGGAGTCCAGGAGCTGGGATAACTGCCCACCTCACCCAACACCTTCTGTCTTGGAGGACATCTGTGATTGACGTTGTCTAAGGGGACTGTTTTAATGTCTACTTAGGGGCCAGTTGAACGTACACACAGATTCCTTGCTCTATGTTGCATACTAAGGAGGAAACATCTGGATGTAGCTGTCTGGGAATTCAGAGGTCCTTGCTTAGTTACTCAAGGCAGGACCATCGCAAGTGAAAGGGCCTCTTTTTCCTGGAAAGGAAGTGGCAGAATCTGCTCCTCTTGGGACTCTATGTGGAGAGTACTTGTGTGACATGTGATCCTGGTGTTGCAGGCCATCCAGAGGCAGCTGGAGGAGGTGGAGGAGCGGCAGAGGGCTTCTGAGATCCAGGGTGTGAGGCTGGAGAAGGCATTGCGAGGAGAAGCAGGTACGGCATCCTAGCAGATCTGGAGCAGTGGGCGTGGTAAGAGAATAGTGCTAGTCTAACCATCTGAGCAAAACAGACCTTGTCACCTGCTGGGGATCTGTCAGCATGGATATGTGCTAAATCCATAACTGCTGCACACTTTAAACATCGCATTATTGCTTCTCGGCCTTTTGGCCAAGATCAAGTGTAAAAATCAAACTATGGGCCCAATTCGAAATTCCCAGGAGCATTGGTCAGCCCACAGGCCTTATAACTGGGTTTCTGTTCAGCCCCACCTCTCCACTGGCTAACATGAATGTTCTTTGCAATTCAGGGGTTAAGATAAATTCAGGAGAAATATGTGGGTTTTGGAGTAAGGCTGGTAGTAATTCAAAGCCCAGAGTGAGAGTCAATGTTTGGGTTTTTCCTTTACTACCTGTATGACCTTGGGCCAGTCATGTTATAAACCCTTATACTTCCTTTTCTCATCTAAAATGAGGATAATAGTGGTTTTCTCCTTTAGAGAACTGAAAAAAGGATTAAAAAGGAAATTACATATGATGGTTAGGTAACGCATTGCCTGGCCCAAGGTAAAGCAGTAAGTGGTAGTTATTCCAGTGATAGCTTCAGATTCTTAGATTCAAACAGAACTCATCTGGTGAAGACCTACTGAGCATTAGACATTAAAACACTGGGTCTATAACAGTGAGTATGACGTAGCTTCTACCTTGAGAAGTTCATAGTCCATTGAGAGACACAAGGTAGGTAAAGAGATAAGCCACAATACAGTATGTCCCCTAATGCTGTGATAGGAACAAGCATTAGGTTACAATGTGGACAGAACCAAGAGGTTCCTAACTGATCTTGGGGCAAGGAGAGCCATCAGACTAGGCTTCCGGGAAGGAGTGATCTATAAGATGAGAACCAGAGGTGGAACAAGAGTTAACCAGTGAAGAGAAGATTGTTCTAACAGAGGGAACAGCACCAGCAAAGCTCAAATGTGAAAATACATGAAATATCTTCACAAATGAGCCAGTGAAGGGTTTTCAGGTAAGGAATGGCTGAAAGAAATTTACATTTTCGGAAATCTTCCAGTAGGGGTATGGCTAATGAATTGGAGGACCCTGAGAGTTTGTTGGGGGTATTGCCTCTTTAGTTTTGTGATGGATATTTTCAGCCTTCAGTATTTGGGATATAAAAGGTGAAAAACCGAGCACTGAAATAACGCGCAATAATATAAACAGGTTGCTTGTTACTTAACAAGTGAAATGTAGGATTTCAATTCTTTGAAAGTTCAGTTATTTGAGAGTGATGACACTAGCAGGGGCAGACCTAGATTTCTCGAGGCCTGGAGCTCATGCAAAGTCATGCATGTAAAATTGTGAGGGCTGCTTCCAGAACCTTGCAAGGACCCATCCAAGTAAGGGGTCCTGAGGTTTCAGTTTCATTAACTGCCTGGTTAATTTAGCACTAGATTTCAGGGAAGTGCTGGAGTCAGACTTTACCTCTTCTGTGCCTCAGTTTCCTTGTTGGTAAATTGGGAGTGGTAATAATACTTGTTTCTTTTATTTGTGGTGAGGATTAGCTAAAACAATTTAGGTAATACCCATAGCTCAGTGCCTGGCATGGAGCAGATGATTAATCAGTATTTTTTTTTTTTTACTAAAATGCACTGGATTTCCTTGCAAAGATGACCCAAATTTGCTCATTTGTAGGCTTATTACAAATAAGTCTTATTACATGAAATAGGCTTATTACAAATACGAACAGTTTCTTGCTGCTTGGACTGAGAGTCATTGTCTGTCTCTACAGCTGCTGCCGACTTTCAGTAGAATGAACTGCCCTTGTTAGGCGTTTGATCATATTCCCAGTCCAGAAGGCTCTGGTCCTTGTCTTTGGGAGTCTGCTGAGCTCAGTGACAGCCTTAGAAAGGAAAAGGAAAAACCAGAAAAGCCAGGGCATGCTTCAGTTTGCTGCCAGCAACACAGGCCAATAGGTGGCATAGTGGGAAGTGGGGAGCTGTGGGCGCCAGCAAGCCCTGTGTTCAAATTCTCTTCCACGCCACTTAGGCTGACTAGTCCTGGGCAAATCACTTAACCTCTCTGGCCCTAGATTTCTTGTCTGAAAAGTGAAGATTATTATCCCCATATTACCAGGTCATTTTGAGGATTAGGTGTGTTGATGGGCAGAGTCTCTGCCAGAGCACTGATTACGTTGTAGGCATTCAGTAAACACTACCTCATATCATTTTACAAAATATTACTAAGTGTCCACACATATATTCTTTTAAAGAATTTGTCTAATTTTTACTGCTTGAAATTTAAATGATAGAAACCAAAATTGTAAAGCATCTTCTGAAAATCCTCCTCATCTCCAAATATGAAAAAAAGGAAGGAAAGAGAGAGTTATTTTGAGTTATAGCAAAAGGAATCTGGCCAGCTTGTGATGTTTCAGAGGTGTGCCTAGCCAGCTAGAAGATGGATTCCATTCATTCCCTTGGTAATTTAATTCCCCTGTTAAGTTTATGGGCCTGTTTCCCTTGATTGTCCTTGTGTGGGTGACAGATGCAGATCAACAAGGGGCTGGAGACTAAAGGAGTCAAGTCACGGAGAGCGGCCTCAAAAGCAACCAAATGGAAGTTTTACAAACCAGGCACCAAGATTAATATACTCTAACTTGTAATAACATTTGTGCAATAATAATATTCCTTGGCGGTTTAATATTCTATTCAGTCCTTTTAAGAGATTGCCCTGTTGCTTAATGAATGACCAATGCTTATTAGGTTAAGTTGTATTTGAGCTGGCCTGTGCTGCTCCAGTTCAAGTGATTTAATGGGAATTATTTAATAGGTATTATTAGGATAATTAGAAAATGATCACAGTTAGGCAATAATATTGAGCTATAAAGGTTGTGAATAACCAAATTTAGAGACAGACCTGAAAACATGAGTAGCCTGCGACAGTTATGCAAGGCTCCTCTGATAATTATGTAGGCAGCCTGAAAGGGGCTTTGTTCTGGGAGGTATTCATTAGGCGGGCATTGAATTAGAGGAACATGCGGGGGTGCAGGACGGAGGGCAGTGATGGCTGATGAGCAAAATGAGGCTTTGATGAGCTCCTCATTGTCCTGACAACAATTCCCGCTTTCTTTTTTTCCAGCAGTCAGAAATAAGCTCTCCTGCCCTGGGAAGGGTTTTTCCCCATTTTGTCAAGGAAAGGGAAACAAAGAAAAACAAAAATCTAACAATCCACCCCAGATGACAAATCATTATGTCTTGCAGGATGTGGACTCATGCGTGTGTGTGTGTGTGTGTGTGTGTGTGTGTGTGTGTGTTGTCTTTGACAAAGGAAAGAGAGTCCCCTCTTGGTCCAGATGCCAAGGTGAAAGACGGGGATATGCAGTGGGGGCCCTACCACCTTCTGGGAGGAGGCTAAGCCCAGCTTTACAGCCACTTAGACTCTTCTTGGTTGAGGCACTGTTTGTTACCTACTGGCTGTTCCTTGTCAATATGATGATCAGTGTTACATACTAGGGGCATGGAATACCCCAATCTAGAAGAGACCACCATTCACATTTAAATGGTCTGGATAACACAATCTGGGCTTGCTTTCAATACCTGGAATCTGATGAAAACTGAGTAACTTCGAAGAAGAAAGAATTTCTCCCCAGGGGAGTTTCATAAGAATTATTATTCCCTTATAGCTTTACCAGCTTTGGGGACGATTTACTAGCTATTTGTCTGCAAGGAGCTTCTTGCCTTTTTTGGAGCCAGATGGTTTCTCCTTTCCCGAGATTGAGGAAGAAAAATCAGGATGCGCCGGGCGCGGTGGCTCAAACCTGTAATCCCAGCACTTTGGGAGGCCGAGGCAGATGGATCACGAGGTCAAGAGATCGAGACCATCCTGGTCAACATGGTGAAACCCCGTCTCTACTAAAAATACAAAAAATTAGCTGGGCATGGTGGCACGCGCCTGTAATCCCAGCTACTCGGGAGGCTGAGGCAGGAGAATTGGCTGAACCCAGGAAGCGGAGGTTGCGGTGAGCCGAGATCGCGCCATTGCACTCCAGCCTGGGTAACAAGAGCGAAACTCCGTCTCAAAAAAAAAGAAAAAGAAAAAAGAAAAATCAGGATGCGTAAGGTACCAGCAGGTGGCAGCAGGAGCACACATTATGGTGAGAAATGCCAACGAAAGCCTCACCAGGACTGGGGAAGTAATTTGGCTTAGACTTCGTGGTTTTCGCTGCTGCTGAGGAGTCAAGGAATAAAAATTCCTGGATAATGTAACAGTGAGGTGTCCTGGACAGAGCACAGGCATTAGAGTCAGACATTCTTGAGTTTGAATCCCAATGTAATCCTTATACAATTATTTACATTTCTGCCAAATTTTCTTCTCATCTGTAAAATGGGATGAATAATGCCCACCTCATCGGGATGCTATGAAGAAAAGATGAAGTGATATAATATTAATAAAGCACCCAAAAAAGGATCTGAAATACAATAGGCATTCAAAAAGATTTCTCCCCTCTTCTTTTATATCCCTGTTATTGTAGAACACAGCTGGATGGTCAATGACTTCTCAAATTGTATTTATTTGTTTGTTCATTCTTTCACATTTATTTGTAACTATACTCCCTAGAAAGAGATTTAAGCTGGTTTCTATAAATATTTGTAATACATGAATTTTGCATGCCTGGCCCAAACAAAGACCTCAGTGAGAACTAATTGTTACCACTCCCGCACCCTTGCCACTGCCTGCCCCCAAAACAGCAATACAATAAAAGCTGTTCAACAAAGTTAGCAGACTATGGGTTTCAAGCCATGCCTCTCTGACAGTCTGCCACAATTTGGGAATGGGTTTTAGGAAACAGATACTCTTTAGGTTTCCTTCCATAACTGTTTGTTCTCAAAAGGTACTGGAAGGCAGTGGGTTAAATGTTGCACCCTCTCATTCATCATTAGACACATCTGGTTACTGTGCATTCATAGGTGAGCAGAGCAGGGGAAGGGTTGCCATCCCTCT